AGACGCCCACCAAGCTGGTGGTCGACTCTTTTCCGTCAGCAGGCCCACGATATAGGGACCAAAGGAACAACCCACCAAAAAAGAAGGACAAAAGGAGATTGATTTTGCCAAATTTTGTGACAAAAGGAGATTGACAAACGGACAAAGGGTATTGCGTGACTAAACGGCACGATATGGTACAATTCTCCGATGTTTTTTTGTTCGCCCACAAACCCGTCTACTACATGGCTCCGCATGGCCCGAGTGCTCCCCGGAGTTCTCAGACGCTCTCCGAGCATCCGACGGCCTCCACTCCATTGAAAGGACCTTCCACACAATTCTGGTTAAAGCGGATGTCCTGCGTGAGGGCGCTGGACACGATGAAACCTGGCCACGCCGATCGATGGGCACCAAGGATGGCACGGCGTGCGGAGGTTGGCGGAAGGTGGAAACGAGCAGCAAATTGACGAAGCTGCAAGTGCCCTGGGAGAGGGGTCTGAATCTTTCGCAAACAAATAACAAGAAGAGATGCATTTCCGGAGGGAACAAATTCGCGAATCGAGACCTCCCTCAGTGTTGGACGTAAGACAAGATCTGTGACCCACACCACTGAGCCCCCAGGCCAAATCCATTTCTTTCCTCAGGAGACATGAATTGGCGGGAGCATCTGAACTCAAACCAGGCCAAGGACCTTGAAATCTGCAGCGACTTTAGACAAGGAAGAAGTCATGTAAAGTATCGCACTGTAATATGTGAGCATATGTGAGCCTCATGGAGTTATGCATTCCTCTTCTTCCCAAGACCGAGGTCCAAAGGGCCCTGTGCCCTGTGTCCGATGGGGCTCCACATGTCATGGTCTTCAGGAACTGTCCACAGAGCCCCTCACGGTGTTTCGACCAAATGAACGGGCTGGCTCGCTTTGCCATGTATTAATATATATATATATATACAAATGCAGCATACCATCCCCACGGAAAAGAGAAATGATCCCCTTCAAAACCCCTCCTGTGCCAACGATTCAGCTTATGGATTCCTCTACCCATCCTTGTAAATCAATTTCTCCAAGCTCTTGAGCCCCCACAAGAGGATCCCTATCACAGCCTTCCCGCCGAACAAACCTTCTAAGTGGCGCTGAAGGATTTGATCTTCCCGGGCACCGGCTGCCCGGGGCCGAAGGCAATGCCTTAGCACGTTCGTGAAGCCCCGCGCGATCCACGCTAGCCTTCGCCGGACGCGGCTCCGAACGCTTCGATGCACTGCGCCCACCCAGCGGAGCACGGCGGCTGCACGAGACGTGGCTCGCGCATGGGCGAAGCGGGAGGATCGAACTGGCCATCCGAAGCAGCTCATGGCCAGTTTCCGGAGATGATCCTGAAAACGTTTAAGCTTTGATATACAGCTGGTTCATGGCATTCATGAAACTCTTCCAAGATTCAGTCAGGGTGAAAACAGCCAAAACTAAATATAGCACCACGTAAACGCAGCATGCTCTTGTGATTCGGGTGGTCAGCAGTGCGGTCTGAGACTGTTGGATGATCGAAAGAATCCATTTATGTGAAGGTTCCAGCATACTCGGGCTAAACACACATGATGGATCACAGCACTCCACAAATCTGATTCTTAATTGTATACTAATTAGCAGTGCAGCATCAATGGTTTCCAGGCAACAAGCCCCAAGATGCCGCACTGTTCACGTTCATTCTGATCCCTTAACCTCCTCCAACTTCATCTTCATCATCTAGTCTTCCACCTTCACATTCCTTCAAATCCACGCCATCCCATCCACCTCCACCCCATCCACCAACCACCGCTCCGGGTGGCTCAGGCTCGTGGCCTTGAATCGACCGTCGGCGCCTTGCTGCGCTTGAAAGGTCACCGTGCCTCGGTCGACGACGAAACGAGAGGTGGAGGGGATGGAGATAGTCTGGGCATGTCTGGGCGATGATAGGTAATTCTGGAGGAATTTGGGCAGAGTTGGGGGTTGTATTGATGAAGTATTGAGATGTATTTCTTGGTTGATTTGCTTCGATTGGATTCAACTGATTAAAATGGTTTGATTGATCCATCTTGCTGAGGCAAGCAACTCTTTTTGAAGACAGCTAAGTACTGGAAATCTAGGCAATAGAATAGTTCGACACCTCACCCTGTGGAAGAGGTAGGTCTTCTGCGAACAGAGGAACTTCAATCGTTGCTACAAAGTTGAAGGTGTGGAGAGCAAACACAATATCCATACATTAATTAAATTAAATGCACACGAGACTTCAAACGACCAAACGAGTTGAAAATGTGACATCGTTGTCTGGGTGATTTCAACGTCTTCCACGTTCCAAACACTTCAACGTCTACTCACCAGTTTCCCTGCTTCCCTGTTCGAAGCCAGGGAATGCCGCGGTGGTTGGGACTCACCGTGCCACCAAACTCCGGAGGTCAGAGTGTGGTCACCAGCAGGCAATGTCCTCTTCAGCCAGCGATTCTGGTCACATCGATTCTAACTATGCAAGCGATTCTGTCGTCCAAATAGTATAATCCAAATGCTTGGCAGGAAGCTAGCAATTGACTGACCAAAGATCCACAAACCACTGAAGTTCGAGGCTCTCTTCCAGGCAGGAGAAACCGAAACAAAAGACTCTATGACCATTGGACTCTATTCTGACCGGAAGTTGATGAACCTCCCCATCCCCCTGTCACCCCCCTGTCCACCTTCTTTTTCACTCCAAGCCACGCCCTCGGAAGAAGTCCCCGTGCACCGTCTTGCAGTCTTCTGGCCTCAGCGACTGAAGCAGCGACTCAAAGGAGAAATCTAAGAGGAATGGAGTTCGTGACATCGAAGCCCAATCGGTGGTACACTTGAGGGACTACTTGAGGGTGTTCCCTCTATTCATTTATCAACGGTAAAGGACCATCTCTATGATCGAATTCGTCATATTAATACGATAAGAAAGAACTGTGGCTTTCTCAAGGCCCTGCTGCTGGTTTTGCTTCAAATGGACCGTGTCCTTGGAAAAGCTGTTCCTGAAAAGAAAGCAATTGCTTTGATGTACGCCCTGCAGGTCCCCTGTTCGTTTGCCTAGGTGCACGCGTCCACAATCTGGGGCACACGTGTCCCATATCTCTTCCAGCCAAGCATCAACTCGTTGTGTGAAAACATTACATCCTTGAGAGTGACGAGCTGTCCAAACAATGGATTCTGAATGGAACATTCAAGACAAATTTGTATATGTAACCATGAACGAATATAATATATATATATATACTATACACGTACACAATCTGATAGATGGTGATGCTGCGCTGGTTCAATAGAATGTCGTAGTTTTAGAATCATAGTAGATGAAGCAAAGCTGCCAATAAAATTAACTAGATTGAATGCAAACAGCAGCCTGGTAGGAGTCTTCGTGGTTTATATAGTGATTGAATTTGCGTTCCTCAAGATGGGTGGTCTCTGAAAAAAGGAGAGTCAACATATTTCATAGTAGTTCACAATATGTCACCCATTGCAATCTCTGATAGCCCTGTCAAATGCTTCAAGCTACACCTGCGGTCGAAAGCGTTTCCGTTTCCATGGCATCTTCTCAGCCCGGGTCCTGGTCGAGAGCGCTCCCCTCAATAAAGCCAAAGCCCTTGTGTGCGTGCCAAAACTTGACGGTGCCGCTGTAGCCATATTCCCCTGGCAAACCAAAATGCTGGGGATAGGTGCTCGGACAAGGCCCGTGCCCAGCTTGACGTCTGTTTTCTTCAAGCTACAAGGAAACCAGGTTGTTGTATTGGAGATTTTGGTAGATGGAACTGGAAGCATATGTCAATGATTGTATGTCTAATATACGATCCTCTCGTTGCTGGCGCCTCCACCGTCCATCGTGGTCGCCACGCGGCCCGCGCGCCACGCGATGGTCGGAACGGCGCTGTTAGCCGTCCCCGTCCGCTTCAGCCAATCCAACGGAAGGACTCATGGGCCTGGGTATGTCTCTTTAAAATGCTAGAAGTGGCCCACCTGACCAACGTAACATACATGGAGCGATTGAATATCGAGCAGCTCCAGTGGATTAATATATCAACCAAATAATCAAAAACATCTCCGTCAAAGAGCTACATGACAGGTTTCTGATGATAGATATATACATATGACTACAGCACAGCTTCCTGGTGTACTTTCTGAGCGTTGCAAGAAGTGGTTGGTACTTCAAAAAAGAACATACATGACAACATTGTGGCCTCAACAAATTTCAAACACTGTAGTCTGTAGTCAATGGATTGGTTGAAGGAAACATTTACAGGTAAAGCATGGTTTCCAACCTCAAAACTAGGGGTTTCCTGTAGATGTTCATAGATTTCCCTTCAACCAATTCTGGGATGTGCTTAACGAAGCTGAAAAGCGCTTGTGATGGTTCGGTACCATGCTGCAGGACTTCCATGGTTCGGTACCATGCTGCGCTTGTTGAGTTTTGCGAAGGTCGTCCGATGTCGTGCCTCGAGCAGTGCAACATGGATTAGCATGGTATATAATATATATATATATGGGGTGCATTTAAATAGGGAGACCTCCCAAACACCTCTGGAAGAAGGGAGAGTCCAAGTTTGACTCATTTTACCCCGGCCTGGTAGTGGCGGAATATGACTACCAAGTGGAGTAGTTCATGAGTCATTGGAAGTTCTGGGATCTGGATGGGTATATGTATATATATAATATACTAAGCATAGCTTTGCCCTCACGCCGCACCGACCCACAGTTTGGTGCATGTGCTGGCCCCCCTATCATCCCTATCTAGGGATCCAGGTATATACCCCCGTACAGAAGGTGGTTTGGACGCTCCAGGCCTCACAGGCCGACATAAAAGTGTCTTCAATCACACTCAATCCATAAGGGATCCATAAGGGATCCATGTGTAGAAAGGATGTGGATCCATAAGTCATCCATAAGGGATTTTCGTCCCATCTCCGAGAGTCCGAGAATCACCTCACTCCATCACCCGAAAAAAGAACGCAGCATCCAGAAATACCTCGGGAAGACGAGGACTCCCGGCCTCCGGGGAGGCATAATAGGGCGTTCCCGTCTGAGTCATGCACAAGCCCCGCTTGGCCACCTTGGAGACCTAGGCGAGTGGCGAGTGGAGTGGAGTGGCGAGGAGCTTCTCAATTGGTCAGTGTGGTCGGCTTCTCAGGTGGAGCAGCTTGCTCCACCTGCTCCACCTGCGAAGAGGAGAGAAGTTCACATAGTTCACACGCACACCGGAGATCCAAGATCTGGGCTCAAGCGGTGGCTTTAGAACCATGAGACCGCATGATAACCAAAGGATGTCCAACGGTCACTTGCGGTCCCTCCATTTGGAGTTGCTTTGCCAACAACATGACACGTGAATTTCTGCGTATTCAATAGAATTCATTTTGAAATGGATTTCTGTAAAGATGATTAAAGAAACACGGGCCAAATGAATCTAGCTTATAACTTAAACTTATACACCCGGCCCTACATACTACAAAAAGAGATGGATCCCATCCCACAAATATTCTCAAATGGGTGTTGCGGGGTTGCTCTCAAAAACACAACGGCTCCGTTCTTGTTCTTGTTCTTGTTTTCAAGCATCCAGTACACATCCAGTCCACCCCCAAAAAAGGAACATCCAATCTCCTCCCCTCAGGATCTGCGGCATTGAAGTCTCCCAACTTGGCGATGAGCCTGGGTGAAACGCTGACGCTGCGTCTTCTCGGACGAGGTGAAAAAAGCGGATGGGGACGCCTCATCCTGATGATTGATGTTGGATGCGTGTTAATATAGGGAGACCTGCAGCACTATAGGTTTACCATGGTTTACCTGAGAAGCTACAGGACTTCTCCCACTTCGCCCACTTGAGGGGTTGAGTGACTGCATGAGCGCTATATAATTACTGCTGACCTCACGCCGTGAGTCTCAAAAACTGGAGGCTGAGCCCCCAGCCCATCCCTGGAGTGGCTTAGGAAGACATTTGCGCCTCAGCGGCTACGCCACGCCGAACGCCCGGATTAATTGGCACGAAGAACGAGTGATAGAACGGAAGGATTGTCGGGGATACAATCTTGATCAATCTTGCTTCTGGCATGATGAATCTGGGGAGTCTTGCGACACCAAGGATGAAGTTTTGAGTTGTGCCCCGGCGAACACATCCAACAGTCCAATCATATCGAATTTGATCATACAACTTCTTGTAGGTTGTCTGTTACAAAACCACAGGGAATCCACAAGGAACCAGGCCAGCAAGGTCCAAAAGTGCAAGGTTTCAGGTTCTGGAGCCAACAAACGAGCTAACCGCTGACTGTGTGAGCAATCATCTTTTCTCTCCAACTTCTGGATCACCCTAGGCGTTTCGTTCGGCAGAGTTCACGCCCCACTGAGCTGACTGACACTTCAAATCTCGGTGGAGAATCCGCAGGTCGTGCAGGGCCTTGACGGATCGACTTCGCAGGTCGTAACGGGTCGGAGACAGGTCCGAGCGAGAGGGTCGCACCGAGGGGTCACCGAGAGGGTCCGAGGAGTCGGTGCGGTCGGATTCGGCACAGACTCGGCACGGTGCCGTGTCAGTCAGCATCATGTTGCATCGGTCGATCAGAGTTCGGCACGCTGTTGTTACGTAGGTGAAAACCCGACAGCGCTTGTTCTGAGCGCCTTCCTTTCAATGATGACATGGGCGGAGCGGAGTTGTTGCAAATGTGCCTTTCGGGATGTAATCATCGCATGCAAAGCGTCTCTTGCGATTTAACTCGCATGGACAGCATCCAAAGGACTTCTATATAACTCAGGTATCCCAGCATCTGTTCTCTTCTCGGGGCACTGGATGCTTGTGCCGTGGTGACCGGTCTGGTCATCCCTGAGCCTTAGCCTGGAACAACATGAGCAGTACTCACCAAAAGCTTGCCAGAAAGGGCCTATGATAGGCCCACTGATAGGCCCGTCATCCAGTCAAATGACTGTTTTGAGCAAGTGGAATCAAACAATGCAAGCTGCAAGTAGTGACAATCAGTGATTAAGCGAACATTGACACCTAGTGGCGCCCAACATGTTGCTTCCCATGACAATCTGTTTGGTTAGGTTTGGTTCATATGACATCTGTTGTGTTCACATCCTCCCCAAGAGTTCCATCACGTGACCTTATAGTAATGTGCAAACCCTCCCAACGGCCAAGTAAGGCCCCAATGCCTCACCCTGAGCAGCGCTCAACTGGAGCATTTGATCTGAACCCGCACGACTCACTGAGCGAGCCTTCAGCCCTTGACACATCCCGTCCAGGTAGCGCCACACGTCAGCCTGGCCGGTTTTCGGCAGCGGTGAAGGGGGACGTCTTTTCATTGCGTGTTCACTCGGACTGCTTCTTCAGAGAAGCGGTCCGAGTGTGTTGAGTTGGTTCCTACACTTTTGGGACACTCTGCCCTTTTCTCTAGGAAACCTCCAAGCAGGCCGCTGTTGGCTGTTGAGGCAGTGGATCGCCCTGAGGTAACGCTAAGTTGCTTCTCGTATGGAATGACTCGGGTGTGGGGGTAAGTCGGGAAAGTTCACAAAGGTCACATCAGAATCATCAAAAGCAGAACTGCATCACAAGAACAGAAGCCTCATGCCAACCAGAACTGCATGTTGTATCATCTTATTTTTTTGCATCTACCTCATAGAACACCAATCACCAGGTATGAATCAATGAATATATCTATAGATTATAACATGAATATAATTGAATATAACGCTCTGTTTCTTTCTCCTTCACCCAAACCATCCGACCCCAAACGCGCGTTGAACAACCCACCGACCCCAAACGCGCGTTGAACAACCCACCGACCCCAAACGCGACCCGGCGCTTCCCCTCGCCTCTCGGAGGTAGGCGCGCTCCTGGGCGCGTCGCGTGGGACAAACAGGAAGTAACACATGGAACGGTGGGCGCTTCCTTCGCGTGGAGACGCAACAGGAAGTGGAGATGTTTGAGACGCTACATGAGATGCTAGAATCTCGAAGTGACCTCTTCCAACCTCAGAGTTCTCTGTCTCTCTCTCAAGTCTGTCGATCAGGTGTTCCAACCGTTCCAAAAGCGCCCGTGTGCCTTCGTTGGATTTGAGATGTGTGATGTTCTTCCATCTCAAGTCTTGAAGACGTTCATCGATGCTACAGCGTTTTGTTGATGGAATAGATCTAATATATGTTTCTCATTGTTTTTCTACATGTCTTAGAGATCTTCCTGACCTGTGCAGAAGGGGAGATCACCAACCACCGTGGCTGATGCCGGTCGGCATAGACCCTCCTGCTTGCAGCGGTTGATCTGCTGGAGAAGGTCTCCTGCCTCAGTGGCTTGGAGGTGTTGGATGTGGACCACTCCCGTCTTCCCTCCTCTCTTTGGGAAGAAGGGAGGGTAAGTTGATGTATATGTGGTTTCAGAGGTGAGAAATGGCACAAGTTACCCCAAGTTTGGTGGTTTATATGGATCCCCATCTGTTCAAGACATCTTCGGGTGCCAGTGCCATCTTCTATATGTAATCACTCTGAAACCACTTTAAGTGATCAAGGCTTCTGGTCTGTGACCACGCTGCTGGCCAAATTTGCAGTTACTGGTCTGAACGAACATGTGAACAAACGTCGCTTCAGGTTTTACCCGCCGGTTCGCGCCATGTCAAGCCAGCTACTAAGAGTTGCAGGGTGCAGGACAAATTGCCCAGGGGGTTGAAACGGAAGGTCTTTCTGACCAAGCTCGGCCACGCACGAAGTTGCGGGAGGTCTTTGGGCTCTTATGTTCCCATCTGGAGAAATCGTCACCGCAAGCTGAGGTCTTGGGCCCAAGGATGGTCGACCGCCCCAAGTCAGCCAAGTGGATTGGTGGAGCCAACGTGGAGCGCAAATACAGCGGTTTCAAAGGTGAGAAATGGCACAAGTGAACCCCCTCTGTTCAAGACATGTCTGGGATTGGTGCCGGGCCATCTACTCTGAAACCACGGTTACACAAAACAACCATATATCTTGGGGTCTATCCCATTACCTGTAACAGTGGATGATGATGGTTCAGTTGCAGGTCTTGTTCAAAAGTAGTGACTTGCTTGTTTACTGACTGTTACAAGTAATAGGACAGACCCCAAATATATCCCACATGGCTCTCGCAGCGCATCCCTCCTTTTTGGGTTGTCTGTACAAGCTGGTCTTTGGCTAACTGACTAGATTCAAAGCTTGAGATTCTGTAATGCGAATTGGCGCTCCACAGAATGTGTAGGGCAAATGGAACCTTCAAAACTTCAATCCTTCCTCTCAGTCCTCATCTTCCACATCGTCCAAATCATCCGGAAGCTCCTCTTCCTGCAGGAAGAGCTTTTCATTGATCGCTCCAGCTTCCTCGGTGCTACCTCTGGCTCCAGAATCTTGCCCTTCCTCCTCCTCCTCCTGCTCTTCTCCGTTCTCCTAGCTACTCCCAAACGCGAGGAGACCGTATTTTTGGAACTTTCGCATTGAGACCAATAGGACCAGAAAAAGGAGACCAGGTTCTCGATGGATGACCCAGACAGGTTCTCCATGGATGACCCAGACTTGACCCCAGGGTTGTTGGAATCCTAAATCGTGAAGAAATGTTCCTTCCCTGCTGGGAAGACACGTCAATGTCAAGAATCTTCTTTGAGTGGCTCAGTCCACTGAAAAATCGTCTCAACAATCCTCCGGAGGGACCTCTTTCGGGGCCAAGGGAGGGGCCAATAAACTGGCCTCGAAATTGACAATTCCAGCCAGTGGATCACATATAAATCAAGAATAATAAACAGATTTTGTCTGGATAAAGAACAAATCTCCCCCACAAAAGCCACCCTGCTGTTTGACCAAGCTTCATCTTGCAGCTCTGCAGCCACTCCTTTTGTCTTCCCATCACCCTCATCTTCATCCTCCGGAGGGTCTTCTTCCCTTTCATCGTACCTCAGTGGGTAGGCTGGTCGCGGTAAGGACTTTAAGGACTGATAACAAAACCATGAGAGAGAGAGAGAGAGAGAGCAGGACCCAGGTACCTTTAACTTTTTGTTTGCACTTCTTCAGCCCCCTTCAGCCTTTGGCCTAGCCAGTAGCCTGTACCTTTAAATCAAACAAATCACACCAAATCAACTAGCTTTGCAGCTCATTCAGTACTTGCTGAGGAGTCTTCGGAACCCAAACAGCCCCAAAAAACCCGTGGCACACTGTGGAACATGTCAAATGATGATCTTTGGCACACGGCACGGACTGACTTTTGCAGTGTGCCAAACCAATGCGAATAGTTTATATATATATATATATGTTTTTTGTATGTCTTGTATGCCAAACCAATGTTTTGCATGTTTCTTCTTCTGTGCTTACACAAGTGTTGTACTGTCTGCGTGCTTGTGACGTGAGTTGGGGCACAACTTCACCCACTCTGGCCGTGCTTGCGCATCCGTCACACGCATGTAATGCCATGGACGGGCTGGAAAAACCTTCCACACTGACCATGAGGCTAGCTTTCTGACACATGCCATGGGCCATCAGGGGCCTGTCAATGTCTTTCTTCTTTGTTTTGCACATACTGGTTGCAACAGCTGGTCATCCAAGAGGCTCATCCGCTGAAACGGCACCCTCTTCATCCTTGAAGAGCGAAGCATCGTAGGTGAACAAATCGCGCCCGCTCATCCCAGCCAGACCTTTGCCTCAGAAATCCCACAGAAGCAAACAGGGGGGTCGCTAGACTCCGGTGATCTTCGGGTATAAACATGCTATCAAGTACATGGCAATATATATATCCCAAACACATTGACCCCTGAGATTTCAATCACCCTGGCAGTCCCAAATGGCAATCCCCCCTCTCTGTCCGAGCTCAAAATCCGACGATATTGAACTCAACCTATTCGAGCCCCCTACAGTCATGTCCTCTGAACATGCAATCTCCTGGGTGGAGGGATACATCAACTCACGTTGGGAAGACAGTTCAACTGTATCATACTCTATCTATCCTCTCGCGGTTTCGAGACGTTGAACAGGTCTGCCAAAAAACAGGGAAGAACGGCCTTCTAAGAACTCAGGTGAACACAACAAAACATCACGTCCCTAGCGCTTCCAAGGGGTGCCGAATGGAGACTTGTAAGTAGTGTGGAGATGTCCATTGGTGACCCCTTGGAAGCAGCTCGTCATCTCACGTCATCTCACGTCATCTCCATCTTGACGGGTGAAGCCCGACTTGGGCCACATTTGGCCCATGTTTCGCCCGACAAAGCCCGGTCTCCAACCCACTGGACCGCATTGGGTGGCCCCAAGAACCTTGGACTTTATTCTCCCTCAAGTTTCACACCCAACCGTGGGAAGAGTACACAGGACACCTATGTTGCTTTGATATGCTTTGTCACTTGTGAAGCTACCCACGCAGTGAGGAGTCGGGAATCCCTCAAATGAAAACACTGGTCATACTGGTCGTTGTAGGAGAGGCACCCGCACCTCACACACACACCCACGGTCGGGCGAGTGGCCGCCGCCAGCCTTCTTGATGTTCTCTAAGCGATCCTGGACGCTCCGGGGAGAAGGAAAGCTTTCTTCTGAGACTGAGGGATCCAAGGACAAACCGAGTGACCAACAAACCGAGTGACAAACAGGGTGAGTTGCGAGCTGACTGGAGATCTTGTCAATTCGCGCAGGCTGCACTACAGCTGTTTATGCTCTAATTTGATGTATTTATATGGAATTGGAATGAGCTGGATGCGCTCTGAATCTCTGAACTTTCACTCTCCCTGCTGCCACCCACTTGCGCTTCTACCCCACCACCCTGCTCCCAAACCCACCTCAAACCACTCCAATACCCCAGTACCCACCACCCTGCTCCCAAATGCAACAAACAGCCAGTCTCCCATCTCCCATCGACAAAGGCACCTCAGCCAGTCTCGTCCTCATCTTCCCACCGACTTGTTTCGTGGTTTCAGAGGTGAGAAATGGCACAAGTTACCCCAAGTTTGGTGGTTTATATTCATACATGTTTAATTACCCCATTTTTCGTGGTTACCCCAGTGGATGGCACTGGAAGAGAAACCCCCATCTGTTTTTGACCTCTTCGGGGTGCCATATGGTGCCATGTCTCACCTCTGAGAACCAAGTTGAACCACCTCACCTCACCGCGGACCGCGGACCGGACCGCTGACCTGCGTCTCGGACCGAAACCGGTTCCGCTCCTGCTCCACCTTCTCCAAGCGTTCCGCCTCTCGTCGCTCCTTCCAGGCCTGGAAGGTCTCCAAGGTCACCGGCGTGCCGCCCGGAGGCAGCGCCGCCTGCCGCGACCCGGACGTCCGGTGTGCCGCCACGGAATGCGGAAGAAACGGACCGTGGGGTGTTGGTGTCGTGGGAACTGGGAAGAAACGGATGGAGAGGGTTGGGTGGAACAGGGGGGGATGGAGAAGAAGAAGGAGGAAAACAGAGGAGGAGATTGAGATGTTTGATATATGCAACTTATTTAGCGGTCCATATTAAAGATCGAAGTTCGAAGTGGCACAGTCTTGCCAAACACTGAACACAACTATTTCACAATGGAGGTAAATGGAACCTCCGAAAGCTTCCTTGTCCAACTCTCTAACCACAACAAGGGTGAAGATCTGGACAAGGTTCGAGAGTTGCATGGAAACAAGGAACAGCTACAGATCGAACAAGGCTAAAGATCGACCCTCCACCGCACTGGGAGCCCGGACCCGCTTCTCCTCGATGATCTCTTCGATGGGCCTCTCATCTGGAGCTACCTCCGCCTCGACATCCTCCAGGCAACGGATCATAGGATTGCTGCTCCTTAGTGGCACGAAGGAGTGCACAGCCCAAATATATGTTTTCAAACCTAGTGCTTCCAAGGGGTGCCCAATGGAGACCTGTAAGCAGTGTGGAGATGTCCATTGGTGACCCCTTGGAAGTAGCTGGTATGTTTTCACAAGAATTCGGTGTTCTTACTCAAGTTCTTAGTATAGAGAATAAGGGAAATGACCCCTAGCCATAGATACCCTCAGATCCATTCCCTCAATCCTTGTTAAGCACTCCAGTATACTATAGTCACTAGTCTGCTATAGTCAGTAATCCATTGATGTGTCGGACTGTGTAGGAACAAACGTCGCGCGAATCGGAAATAAATCAGCACAGCTTCTCAGGATCGTCCACCCAGAAGACCTTGTCGTTGGCCTCACATGGTGAGAAGATGTGAGAAGTGTGTTTGGTTTCCTCTTTGGGCTGCACCCTGGCTGCACTGCGAAAACAGCTGCACCCTGCTGAACCGTAAATTGAAACTCATTGAAGTCTTGGTCTTCCGATGGTCCACAGTCGACCTCCGCTCATGCTCCGCAAAACACTCGTGCGGAGCAGTACGCAGTACCAGTCACCCAGTCACCCAGTCCACGTCACAACAAGTCAACATGCACGATTCCGCGTACTACGAGTACTATTCAGTTACAGCAGGAGAATGGTATCGGTATCTTATCATTGCTCACATGATCCACACTGAAAACCAGCTGTATGAAGGTTTGCTATGCTTTGCTATGAAACTCAACGGCTCTTCTTCCCCTCATGGTCTTAATCGGCTTGACCGAAGCTCTGCGAAGTTCCGCGAAGCTCCGAAGCCCACAAACTCTGGCCTTGATGAAGAGGAGGAGCTGCAAGATCTTAAAGGCCTCCTGATGCTTGGTTTTCAGCGCCTCAGAATACAGTTCTTGCGCTCCGCATCCACCACCACATCTTGAGCACTGGGAGGTGTCCGCTCACATGCACACAACGTGACCCTTGAGAATCATTGGGAATCTGAGAGCTTTCTCTTCTGGGTTTGCGAAACGCGAGGGCATTGGACCTGCGATCTTACAATTCCCTCTTCAGTCCTCCCTCCTCGGGAGGACATCAATCATATCAATCTGCTATGATCATTGTCACCATTGATCAGATCAAACAGTGCACGCACCATTGGCAGAAACGTGGACACGTGGACACGAAACACACGATACACATGGAATCTCAAGAAGACCCTTCCCCAACAGCTGGAAAGTAGGTCCTCTATTTTCATGCTTGATTCTTGAGGGTGGGTGTGGTGGGGCCAAACAAAGCTTCGGATCATGAACACTCTGATGTCTTCCATTGGCTCAGGCCTGGATGATTGCATGGCCGCCGATCTCAGACATTCGAATGCCTGGCGGCTGGAGCAAGGTCGGGGCGAGTGTTGGACGACACGCGCCACGCACCTCCCAGCCCCCCAAATAGCAAAGAATGTACAACGGTTTCAGAGGTTCACTGACGCTGACATCCCAAGATGTCCTGAAAAGAATGAGGTCCAAATCAATGGCCAAACTTGGAGATTTGTGCCATCTACTCCGAAACCACTGCACCATAAACTCCCAGATTCATTGGAGGTTCGCTTGGAGGTTCGCTGCAGTGCAGGTGATCCAGTGGATTCCGGCCATCGGACCGGGATGGACGGTGACAGCGTGGACGGTCCTCTTGGACCACCGGACCGGGACGCGGTCCGCCGCGTGCGGTGAAAGACCTCTCTGGGGGTCTGGCGGGGTCCACCTGTAGGGAGCCCAGGAGCGCAGGAGCGCACCCGAGCCGGAGAACCCTCCAAAAAGGTGCGCGAAGTGCTCACCGAACGTTCCACCAATGCCCCTGATTCCAGTTATCCACTGAACTGGGTAAGAGCATGCTCCTTGCAAACCCGCTCCTGTCTTCGGGTTGGTCAAGCGGATGGTGTTGGCCACTCCTTCGATGATTTCCTGGAGTAACCAGCAGCTGCAACTTACCAACCTGCACGTGCACTGCACAGCCCCTGACCTTTACCACCACTTATAGCATAGCATAATGGGTATACCGGTATACAATACCAACAACTCGTCCTACCAATCACCGAGCCTCCCGATTGCCTTGATGCGAGTCTGTCTGAGTGTGTGATTGGACTGTGGGAAGAGGAAAGCAAAACACTGCCCTTTGAGTGGTTTTCGTGACATCTCCTTCTTCACATCATCTTTCAATTTCTTGCCGGACGCGATGGCATCTTCTTCCGCCTGAGCGCACGGATTTGTTTTTGTTGCGAGATGGAACGCCTTGACATTGGCAGGGCAAGAGCCTGTGAGTGCCCGTTTTCTTGCAAGAATGCAAACGGTCCGCAAATATCTGGTATCAATATGCAGGTCATCAGAAATAGTGTTCCAACTGTAGTTACGTTATTTCGATTTGAATTGTGTTTTGACATGAAGGAGGTTGAATTTCACAGCCATGTTTGGACACCGCTCTGGACTACCTCTACTATGTTTTGTCGTTGAACGGTTCTGAAAGCACCGGTTGGTGAACTTACTTTCATATATGAACCCCCGTGTAAAGGACATCTTGAGGTCTGTGCCATCTACTCTGAAACCACTCTAAATGCCGTGGCCGTCAGGTAGCCACTGGCCCCATGAGCTAATCCAATGCTACGGTATACGGCTACTGCGCCGGACCTGGCCAAAAAAAAGAGCCGGAACGAAGCGTCTGGCACGATCCGGTGGGGAGCCCTCCATTTGAGAACCAATCAAGTGCAGTTTTGGAAAGCCTGGGCACCAATCCATGTTGATTCTTGTAATCCATGCGACTGGGCCAGGCTCGACGAGTGGCCTGCTTCGCTTTCTTCTTTGCGACTGGGTCGAAAGCTCTGCCCTTCTTGTCAGTGGCCATGTTGAACAAAGAGTTCCTCGGCACCGCAGGAATGTGAATCGGCCCAAGGGTGAAGGTCCGCACCGCACCAAACGAAGGGCGAATGTACTCTAATTCCATTTTGTTGTTACAAAGGGGACCCTTGAACAAGGGATGCGCGTAATGACCTGAACAGTTGCCCAATGCATCGTGGTTTGACCCAACTAGCATGCAAAACTCCCCTAAGCCTTCTTCACTGTAACTGCTTCCCCATGCTTCTCCTGGACCAACTTTCTTGATGTGGTTTCTATACTATAGGGTGTGCGGCTGAAATGACCAAACTTGATGACGATTCATGGTCAAACTTCAATCGCAGAAACTTCCCAAACGTTCACAAATTTGGAGGAATATCCCAGCCCAGGCCCGGATGCTCCATGCTATCCATGCTATCGGAGCCCGGGAGTCATGAGAGCTGCCTTCTGCAATTCTTTTTGCTTTGCCTCTGACATTGGCCACTGAGAGCTTTCTCACCCCCTCCACAAAGTAAAGGCCAAAAGGGCTACAGTAACATACAGTAACTCTTCTGCAAGCACATGTTGCAAAGTTGAAGCCAATCCTATGTTTCATTGTTTGATCGGGCATTGGCATCGGCCTCCTTGGCTTCTCGCTCCGCAGCTTCCTTTCCACCCTTGGGTGCTCCAGCCGCATTGTTTGTGATGGACTTGATGTACTTCTGGACGACTTTGCCTGCACGTCCGCGCCGAGTCCAGCACAGTCGTCAAAACGGCGCCACCCGTCCGGCAGGCACAGCAAATTTTCTGCGTGGGTGGATCAAGGGGTCTTAGTAAGGAAACTTGGGAGCATGAGATTGAACAGGGGCAACCTTTGGAGACTGTGATGCAACAGAACTCAAAAGCAATTACTTCATATTACTTCCATGAATCGCAAGCGAGAGTAATTGATTCATGTCTTTCATGAACTTCCCCTCTAAACTCAACCCAAATCCATGAAGTCAGCTTAGAAACAAAATATTATATATAATACGTACAAATATAAGTATATATCTATACACGCATCATATACTCCATTATATTCCAGTCTGGCTGACCCAGTCCAAGCGGCTCTTGTTCTTGTTCTTCAAGCCGAAGGTCTTGTCGATTGCGATCTTCTCCCTTTCTTTCTGCTTGGCCTTGTCGACCCCACCAGCAGCTTTAGGCGGCATGGCCGCCGTTCCCCTCGCCGCTTCAAACTCGCGGTGATGAAGAAGCTTTAGCTCTCGGCGTTTGGTGCCCGATCTAGCTGAGCAACTTGCACTGTGGCTAGGTCTTGCTGATCTCTAGCGAGATATCAGGGACAGTATGGCTCAGAATGCGAAGAAGTGTGGCCTGAACCATGTGAACAGTTGGCTCGTAGCCTGTCCTTCGAGCCTGTGAAAACCGGCAAAAACCGGACAAGGAAGAGCAATATCGGTGGCATGTGAGGAACTTCTCCAATCTCCGATCCTTCAGCGGCCTTGTGGCTGAAGCTTCTCTACTATTCGATCTCCTCGTCAGCACTCGGCAGGGTGTACAAGAGTGTTACAAAAGATCCACACATGGAAAGCACCAAGGAATCCTCGACTCAATTCACCCCAAAGGTGCAAACAACCATTGCACCCCTTTTCTTTCTGCATGACCAACTGATCAACTCTCCCAAGAGTAACATCCAGAACTCCTCCTTCAGGCTTCGTGAGTGATGTGGGGAAAAAAAGTGCCATGCACCCCTCAAAGCTCACACAAACTTGGATAACATGAAACAAATCAGTGGAAAAAGCATGACATGTCGTTCTTCTTTACCACGGATTTTGGAATTCCGCCTTCACTGGTCTAGAACCACGTCCAATCCATTTCAGCAGCCCCTTCAGCCAGCCCTTTCGCCAAGGTGGCGGCCGGCTCTTTACCGGGGGGGCCCTGCATCCGCACACTCCTGGACAATGCAAAGGCACCGGGTCTTGTCATCCCAAAAGGCCTGGCGACGTCCGCCGGTGCCCCCACGCCTGGAAATAGGGCAAATCCATCCAAATCCCATTGGTATTATATAGGGGCCTCCCTAATCTTTTTTGGCCTCCCTAATCTTTTTTCGAAGGCGATAGCTGCTTGCTAGCCCGGAATCAAATTAGGGGAAGTCTTTGGGGAGGGGGGGGAAGTGTGACCTTCTATTGTTCCAGGCTGCTGTTTTCTGCCGTCAAAGAAGCGACTTGTGCAACGCTGTCCGCGACTTGCACCCCAAATTCAAGGGCGCCAAGTGAATTAAAGCTTCCAAAATCTGTCGATCACTGCCATTCGTCAACATTCCTCATAGGCCAAACCTTCCACATTGGATGGGACGCACCGACAGGCCATCTATCCCCAATGCTATCTGCTATCGCCACATCTGCAGCTGGAGCTCACCAGGGGCAGGGCAGATCATGAGGGCCGTGTGTGACGGCTGTCAGGGAAAACTTCTCCAAGCCGCCGCCACGAGCTTTGATGAGGCTCCAGGCATAGGGGATCAGCTCAGGGTCAGATGGGCCTCCTCCCCACAAGACCTCATGGCCCACCTCGGCAAAAGCTAGCCTACAGTGGTCATTAGCAACTAATTGATTCATGATCGATTTATTTTTTGCGCACCAAGAAACACAAACATCTGTACTGCTGCAATTCCTGTTGCTGCTGGTTTTCTCAGCGGAACTCAACCGTCGGTGTGCCCGAACCGGCGACCTGTTTGCACGTCCAGGGCGCCAGTGTGGTCCCACAGAACCAGCTGATCAGCAACGGATGTCCTTTCCACATTTCTGCATGCCACTGAGATAACCTCGGCTGGCTCCAATGGTCCAAGGTTGGATGATCGAATTTGATGAAACAAGAACGAGCACACTGGCTCCTGGTGCAATAGTGAACAACTTCCCAAGCATTCCCAGTGCACCTTGACAATGCCTAATCTAATCTAAAGCCTATAAGTCATGAGTAGGGTCACCCAATTACCTGCTACCCAGGTCTGAGCAACACGTGTGTCATGCTTTTGTCTATCTTCAACCATGGCCTGCCTTCTTTCTACCAAACCCACCTGCTATCACCTCAAAGAAAAAGAGAAACCCGACACCAATTCTCCGAAAGAGTCTGGCAGTGACGCGAGTGAGTACACACCACCTCATGCAAGTCCCTCAAGACCAGTGCCTCTGCTGCCGTGCTGTTGCCCGAAAAATCGTGATAAGTCCACCTCGTCCGGTCAGGCGGACAACAGTGCGATCCAGCCCGTCGGATGGTTCTAAAGAAAGCTATAGCTATCATCTATAGTTTTCTTCCTCCACCCCCCCAAAAAAAGAAAAGGTGACACATGATAGATATATATTGGGACCTGCGTTGGCCTCTATCCTGAAGGCCTTCTGTAAATCTTGGAAACTATTTACTAAATCCTAGGAACTATTTGCTAAATTCTGGGCCATACATCCTGCATGCTGGAAACTATTAGCTAAATCCTGGGAACTACTTCCTAAATGCTAGGAACCATTTGCTAAATACTAGAAGTTTAGTGGCCAAATGCTAGACTATTTATTATTTATAGACTAAATCCTGGACACTATAGGCCAAGTACTTACTAAATGCAGGCAACTCTTTCTAACCAACTGGAGGTTCTTTGTAGAAACCACTGACACGCCCAAACGTCGTTCTGCTAAAGCAACAGACTTGGTGCTGCTGCCTGTAGTCCATTTGAAATCCAAAGGGGCCCGTGGACACACCACAGCACTTCTTTAGGAATGTGCCACTTGAAGCGCTCGTTTCTTGTAAACCTTCAGAGATGGAAACCAGCTTGGATGCAGTGCCAAACCTACAGCGCGTGCCTCGCGTCATTCCATTTAGATCAGTTTAGACCAGACTGCGGGTTTCAGCTTCCAGTGCTGTCATGTCGTCGAGCGAAGAAGACAAGTCTGGCTGCGCATCCCTGGCACAAAGCCTGTTGCGCCTTGATGATCCTTCAAGTGATTCTGAGAAACTTGGACTTGTGAGACTCAGTAACTCACAACTCAACTCATGATTCAGAGTACACTGTGAGATTGAGAATTTGTATATCTAGTCTAGTCTAGCTATTCAATCGGATATCGTCTTACTAGATGTATCAAGTCAGAGTGAGGTGAGAAGTCAGAAGTGAGAACTCTGGATTGATTCAATCATGTCTTCGGTAGTTGGCCCTTGCCTTTTTCCCATTCCCCGCCTGAGCCCCTTGATGTGAGGGTTGAAAAAATGAATGACTAATGTACTAATGGATGTGATATGACTGGCATGCCAAACCTTACCCAAGCAACCATGCTTTGGTCGTGAGGAGTGGTAGCTCCAATGAGATTATGCCTCCCCGAGCTGCTGATCCAGAGCACCTTCGACAGCCTGAAACATTTCAGTGGCCTCACCTATACTGCGAGAAGATTGGACTGAATCATTTGGCTCCCCATTTGGCAAACATCACGAATCTTGGATGGCGCGCAATGGTCAATCATGTGAAAAGCGGTGTTTGGATAATTTGCCGGACAACCATTGTAAGTACTGGCTTCTATACCCAGATATACACCAGCTGTGCCGAGCACACAGTCAACCTGAGCTGAGTTAAGACAGTTGATGTGTGTGTGTTCCTGCCCCTTAACCATGGGTCGTTTAGTCTTTGACGGTTGGAGAGCGTGACAGCAAACCCAACAGTTATGATATGAGCAATAAAGGCGGTGCAACACCTTTTGACTTAGCCAAGCCAGCAGTACATTGTGGCTGACTGCTGAGGGTCAAGATCAAGGAGGGTTGTGCTGGAGCAGCTACAGGGACGTATTGCTTGTCCCAACCTTAGAGTGTGGGTGAGAGTCAAAGATCAAATACTCCACCCTAAAAAATAAACAACCTTTCTGGGCTCTACTGTACTCTTGAAAGAGGTAGTAGTGCTTGTAAACTTCACTCTTCTTTGAGTCTGAGTCAGAGTCTGATCTGATTATATCTGATTGATTCATTAACTTATGTTTTGAAGTGAAGTCTTTGACAGACATTGACATTGACATTGACGTGGAATCAAAAGATGTCAACGCTGACCACCCAACTCTCACATTTCGACTTGACTGCCAGGCGGCAGCTGTCTGATGAGTTGGGTTTCAAAGCTGAGACATTGAGCTGCAGCGAGTCAGACCCTGGAAAGATCAAGTTCCTGAAGCAGAATTATCCATCCACGAGTGACTTGACGGCAACTATTAGTTGGCTGACAACGCCAAACAGAGTTGTGTGGAGCTATAGAGAGTGCCTGCTGGAGTCAGACTTTTGTCACACGCTTTTCATTGTTCTAAAAAGCCAGGCTTCATGATACTCTAACTCCCAATTGATGAATCAATCAATCCCCAAACCTAGACTTGAAAGCTCATGGACTCATAGTACCTTGACATGGACCCTACCAGCAAGTAGTGAGTGTGATGATTCTGATTGATTCATGATTCATTTGTTTTGTGGAACCTCAGTTGGCCACCTGTTCGAGAAAATCGAGAATCAAGAGCATGGTGGTGGGAAGTGCTTGCTGCACAACACACATTGTGCAGATCCTGCTGGTGACTCTTGACGACAAAAAAATAGAAAGCAAGACTGGACTCACAAAACCTGATTGACTGAAGGTCAGACGGTCAGAGTCATATTTATTGTATACACAGTACACGCATGTCACATGTCATATCACATAGCACACCTGATAGAGATATTTTCTTTATGATATGTTTTCGATTTTATTTAGCTTATTTGATATTGTGCTGGGATTGAATCACAGGTGGCTATAGGAGAGCCACCTCGTACTCACACTGATGGCTTGCATTTGGACGCGCAGGAAGACATCTATGCCTTTGGACCTCCATGCACCCCATATACGAGATTGTCAACAAAGCGCAAATCAGATGATTACGCACCATTCGCAGATCCTGCCAGTTTTCCATTTGTCACTGGTTCACGATATGTGAGAAGCTTGGTCGAGATATGCCATTTCACCCACTTGCCCAACTCAATTTGAAAGTTTAGCAAAACACTTGTTGGCTGGCCGAGACTCTAGAGGTGTAAGTTGTGAGTGTGGTGGTGAGTTCTGAGTTTGTGAGATGTTGTGAGTGGTGGGGCTGGATTCTTGCAAATTTGACTTCTGACTCAAAGGCTGGGGGTTGAGTCGTGTCATGTTGGCTATTTTTTGCAGGTGCTGTATTCCGACTCATGACTAGGTACCGGAGGTTTTTTCAGAAAAGTTTGAGGCCCAAGAGTCGTGTCTTTATCTGGGCCCTCCAATGACACTTTGGAGTTGAGGAAAGCACCGCCCGCCCATGGTGCTGATGGAAGAAGTTACCTGGCTGCACCGATCACCGTATATGAATGAATTTCATTCAACTTTTGAGTGAATCCAATCATCCAGTGACCAGCTTTAGATTTGAAGCTAAAATTGAACTGCATTTGAGCAGAGGTGATTGAAAGCAAATTTAGGAGTTGATCGTCACATCCCAAGATTTCCAAAACAGTAGATTACAGGCTTCAACTTGATTTCATTGTTGAAGGCAAAGAAAACAGTTTTCGTTTTTTTGAAAACACTTCACTGGAAGATCTCCTGTCCTTTGCTGTTAGTGCTGGTCCTCAATTGAGGTTGCGGATGTGCTGCTTCCCTTCCCACCGCAGTGCAAGGGAGAATTCTACCAACGCTACAAGGCCGGGGCGTCCTGTCAGCATGGTGGGCATGTTTTCTGAACTAGTCAGCCGCAACGAACGCTTCGAGATTGAATCTGTTTGCTTTTGCAGCAACATGTTGGAGGTTTCAGCAAACCCACTCAATTTCAGAATGAGGCAGCCAGTGACCAGGTCCAGTCAACTCTCCAAACTACGCATGACAAACTACTAATACTGTACTGCTTAACTTACTTATTCTTATAATGTTGCAATTTTTTTACTGACACTGACACTTGACATTGTCAGAGTCATTGACATTGACGTGACTGCAGAACACAT